ATTCTCTCAGTTCTTCTTCTTCTTCCACGTTGTTGATTTTTATTAGCCTTTTTTATTCTTTACTTCTTATTCCTCATTGGTCTTCGTCAAACTTATCTTCCTCTGGGTTTTCTTCACTTTTTTTTCATGTACTCATTTCCCATTTCTTTTCTTTACTTTGTTTCTCATCTTTCATTTTTTTTCTTTTGGTTTTCTTCTTCAACTCCAACTTCTTTATCCTTCTTCATTAGTTTAGGTTATCCACCTTCTTCTTTTCCTTTTTGGATTTAATTGATATGACTTTGTCTTTGTCGTTTTTGACTTCTTCGTCGTCTATTCGTCTTCTTTTTCTTTTTCTTCTTGTTTTGTATCCTTCGACTTCTTCTGTAGTTTTCTTTCTCTTATTTTGAATAGGAGTTATAATTGATAGTTGTATTGATTTGTACAGAATCAATTTCCTTAAAAGTAGTATAATCATTCATGTGCAATAAAAAAAAACGTATGATTTGTGGACTAACATATTTTTTTCATCGTTGTTTTGCTCTGTTTTTGCTACCTCTAACGGAGGTTTTGTAAGGCTTTTTTCATTCAATCAAAATCAAATTCAGATGAAACAATTTTACAATACACAAATTTTCAAAAACGATGTCTCATTGGAAATTAGACCATTACCACCGTTTTCACATGTAAAATAATAATAAAATGATCAGAAGTTGCAATACAGCTGTAGAAGTTCAGGAACAAATTCCCGTCATGCCTATTCCCAATTTGTTCTCTTAGTTTACTTTCCATCATCTTGGCCATCTCTTCATTCTCCTTCTTCATATTAGTCGCACAATTTTTTGACATCAAAACAGCTTCATCATTTCAAGTATTATTTCCTTGTATCTTACGTTCACGAAACCACTTATATATTTGAATCATCTAAATTTGAAAAACAGTTACAGTTATTATATAAACTGTATTATAGTATCTATCATATATAAATAAAATGGTATCTACATATGTTACCTCCGATAAAAATAAAAAAAACAATATCCTAAAATGTGTTTTTCTTCAATTTTTTCTTCTTTTTCAATATCTTCGATTTCTTTCTGCTTGTTTTTATCGTCTTCATTTCTTCCGACTTCTTTTTACTGTCTCCATTTTCTTCATTTTCTTTTTTATCTTTCTTTATCATCTTTGTCGTCTCGATATACTATTATTCAAGTTTTTCTTTGTCTTTTACTTTTCTTCTTTGTCTAATTTAACTAATTTCTTTTTCCTGTTACCATGTATTATATTGAATTGATGAGAGTGTGGTATATTTAAAAAACAAACAAACAATTAAGACCGTCTTAGATTAATCGGTTGAATTGACTTTTAAAGCTATATTTTTAGTAAGATTAATGAAGATGAATAAAAAAAAAAGCTATAACTTTTTAGGAAAAAAATTAATTAAACTGGTTTCACTTTATCGATTTAAGAAGGATTTAATTTTTTGATCAAAAATCTCGAGCCTTGTATATATGTATCAAGACTAATACAATATAAAAAAAATAACCATAAAGTAAAGCCCTAAAGATGAAGTTTTTTTTCCTCTTTCTTTTGTATTTTTATCTTAATACATGAAGGGGGAGAGTCGATCAAGTCGAGTCTCTGTTCTTGTTATGCTCATCAGATACAATTCCTCAAGTATATACTTTTTACGTTCAAACATCTGATAAACAATATCAAAACATAGACGTATTTCGGAGTCCTCGGTTAAAGGAATAATATCTATAGAAGGACGCAAAAAGGATTATACTAATGTTTTGTAAATGTTAAGAACCAGAGACATTTAGTGGTCAGTCACATTGTTGTCGCTTCTAAGTTTGACAAACTTTAAATCACGGTCGGTGTTTACTAACACACACACACACATAATAGGAGTCACATAAAGCACCAGAAACAAAATACAAAGAGACCAATTTTAGCTCATGATTTTAAAGCTAACATGAGCTCCAATCCAAATAAAAAAAATGCTACTACTCTAACACTATTTACATATACACACTTCCTGCTTTTGTATATCTGAACTGGTAAACCTTAGTTATGGAACACCCTAATCCTAATGTCCCAAGTTGCTATCACAATCACAAGCCCCCACAGGTGCGGCGTACAAGATGTTCTCGCACACGTTCCTCAAGAGCCTCAGCTTAGACCTGATGTTGGCTTTAGCTAAAATCGCTGTTGCACCTGCACCTGTTACTACGCCAAGTTTCTCTTCTGGCCACGTTGTTGCTCCTTTCATTGGAGAGAGACAATCCATCCGCAACAGGAAATGAGCACACTTTTTTTTCGCAGATCAGCAATGAAACTGTCCCCCTCTTTCCCCTTGCGTAGCCAAGGTATGGCAACAGACATAAGACCTGATCATTTTTTGGTTTCTGAGAAGAAACAGCCTTCTTATTTGGTTGAGAGTAGTCCCATACCTGAATCACTGAGCCCTCTACTGCTGACACAATGTGTTTCCACCAAAGCAGAGGTGGTCTCAGTGTTGTCCTACGACTGGAAACTGCAAAACATCCACCAAAAAAATAAGAAAAAAAAGATTATATCAATACAAACCCATAGAAGAATTCACCTCAGCACTGAGATTCCATTGTCTTTAGAACTTCATACAAAACCGAAGCAATTACATGTGCAAACCCTCTAACGTGATACACAAGAAACTTGTACCTCGACAAACTAAAAAAAAAACACAGACAAAGAGTGCACCGATCCAATATCCCAAGAGTTAGATCCACCTATAAAGAAACAAGCAAAGTTCTTTTATCAAACGACGTTTTGTCTGATAATACAAGGCTTATATCTGCTTGTGTCATAAAGAGGACTTGAGCCTAAATTTTATAAGAAACAAACAAACAAAAAAGTTCCCTTTTAATAAAATTGAGGACTGTGAATCTCTAAGACAGATATCAAGTGACATCTCAAATCGAGTGTACACTGATCCTCCTCATGTATTCTGTTAGGATCTAAAACATAAGTAAATGTAACAATGGAAGAAACTAATGACAGAACCATGTGTTGAAAAAAAGAGGAGGGGGGGGCACTTTATTCAAACGTTGATATGAAATGACTCAAGATTCTAGTAAACAAAAATAGAGACAGCAAAACAGAGTACACATGTGCCACTAAACGTAGAGTGATGGGAATTCTGAATACTGGAGAATCCGAGCTTCGCAAAACAAACGATTATAATCCATCCAACCCATAAATTGTGTGCACCTCTCAAGGTGTAAACCTTGACGTGTCAAAATTGTAATAATCTCTTAGAAGAACATCAAACTATACTTGTAAGTGAATAATCACGAAATACATATGCAAGTAATCACGAAGAAGAGAAAGTCGTGGAGCCAACTTACTTGTAAGGAACAATAATGTTATAACAAAAAAAAAAAAGAATATAGACTTACGCTTACAGCCTTCAGGTTCACGATCAGGTTGAGGCAGGTGGAAGCTCAAAACGCGAACATCTGAATTAAAGAGAGGGAAAATTCAGACAAATTACTTCAGCTTTGTAATTCTAACGATGCATCATTCAACTCGACTTTGCAATATCAGCAATGCATCTTAAAATCATAACCACAAAGTATAGAATTAAATTTTTTTAATACAAAACGATGCATCTCTAAAAGCTATATGCGATGCATCATAAATTGTCTAATTGTATAAAAAGTAAACCAAACGAATATAACAACAGAACAAATCCATAAGTCTACCTCTTGACATGTTGTCCATTGTATAAACCACCAACGGAGATAACCTAATCAAATCAGCATGGTGGAAGGTATATATTAATATAAGACTACAAACTCGAATTAAAAAAAAAAAATTCAAACACATAACAGTGAAAAGAACATAACAGAACTAAATATGTGCTCGGTCATGAAGATCTTGAATAAAAAATATTTGTTAAAAGCATACGTAACAAATACGACCCCATATCGCTATCTGTCAAATATCTTTGACACAATACGAAGCGATGTATACATAATACACGATCCTGTATCATAAACGAATTCGAACACTAAAAACACACAGAAAGAGTTTTATGAATCAATTGGCATAACTAAAACAATGATAAACCAATATTATTAAGAAGAACAATACGTATACTAAAGATCTATTTTAAATTTGTAAAAAACTAATTAACAACAATTATTATTTACAATTACCCATTAGATCCATTGGAAGATATTCCAAAAGTGCGAGCCAATTAGCTATAGTTTGCGGGATGAACTATAGATTTAAGGAAAAACAATAAAGAAGCCTAAGTTAATTTTTATTTACGAACAATAACTGATTGCTCCTAAATATTTACGAACACGAATATATAAAAGACGTTTACGAACAATAAAGAAGAGGAACACAAACTAAGAAGACGGTTGTTGTATGTTTAAAATATATGTAGACAATACAAGCATATATAGAGTTTCTATGTTGGTGGTCCATTTAACAGATTCGGTGGCTATGACTGAGAACAAAACCGTTGGTCCATTAACAAACTCGATGGCCCATAATCGATAAAAAAAAACCATGTCACATATATTTACACATAGGATTAATGATCGTCTTATCAAAATTAATTAAAACGCCACATATTTTTTTAATAATGACACGTAAGCGAATCGTTGTGGAGAGGACACATAAGATTTCTAACTTTACAAATAATAGTATAGATAACACATATATTAACACGTATGATTAATGATCGTACTATCCGAATTAATTAAAACGCCACATTTTTTAATAATGACACGTAAGCGCTGTAGAGACAACACATAGGATTTTTGACTTCGCAAATAATAGTATCGATAAATAGATAATGACACGTAAACGAATCGTTGTAGAAACAATACCTATGATTTTTGACTTCGCAAATAATAATATAGATTTACTTTTTATCAAAAAATAAATTAATTGTGGTTTTCTCTAAGTAAAGCCCAGCCCAAACTCCGTCATTTCGGTTTCACTAAACCCGATTCGTTGGTGAATAATGAATATGCACACTCCCCTTCAATAAAGAAAACTTGCGAGTCGCTTCGATGCTGTGATCGAAATGGCGTCGTCTTCTCCAGCTCAGCGAGCTCACGTCCCGATTCCTCCTGAGCCAGGTGCCTTAATTTCCTCTTCAATTCGCTTTCTGTATCCCTTAATTTCCGGATTCCTTCTCGCTTTTCGATACATCCCACCGAAGCTTCGCTACTAATTTTTCATCATTTCATTTCTCTGCTTTTTTTGTTCCTCTGTGATTCTCCTTGCTGATCGCTGTTTCTGTTTTACCGTATTCGATCGGCTTATCTCTCAGATTTCCCAAACATTTGTGCAGTTTTCGTCGTTGATCAATTGACTGTTAAAAAAAAAAAACGATTCAATGTTTAAGGTTGCTTCATTTCTGATCGAAATGTGGGTTTAAAGCTCTATTTTCGCTCGTTCTGTGAAAAAATCCTAAGTTACTTCGTTATTGGTCTAGCAATGCATCGTAGTTCTTCATAAGAGCAATTTGTTTAATTTCTGTTTTGATGTCATGGAATACCAAGGTTAATCGGAGGAATGAATGTGTGAGCTAGTTTTTAATATTTTGATCTAAACAGTATCTCTGTTTGCAGCTTAGATTGTATACTAAGCTTGCAAGTAACTGGTAAATTCATTCTTTTATCTTTCGAAATGTGGGTTTAGTCATCTGTGTACGGTCGTTCCTTGGGCGTATAGGTGCAAAAACTTCCAAGGTGCTTCGCTCTTGCTTTCTTATTTTTCTGTCACACGACTAGCATTGCATCAGATTTCTTCGTTCGAGCGATTAGATTTTAATTTGTTTGATCTCAAAATTTCTGGTGAACTGTGGAATAGCAAGATTCAGTGGAAAGATCGATGTACGAGTTGGATTAGATCATTACAGTATCTCTATTTGCATAGATTGTAACTAGACATTTTCAGCAAACCTGTTTGTATTTAGATTATGCAAGTAGTGACAATCGTCATAAATCTGTTGTCTTATGTTCTTACATGCTTTAGTTTTACTCTGCAGGGGGAAGGTCTCTGACCCAAGAAGCTAATGAACCACCGGTTCCGATACACATAGTGACAGAGCCTTTACAACTTCCGGCTGATTTCTTGAACCCTTCCCCTGATAAGAAATTGGTCATTGGTTTTGACTGTGAGGGTGTTGACCTCTGCCGAAATGGAAAACTTTGTATCATGCAGGTGACCTTTGTTTTCTGTGATTTTACTGTTTCATATTTGTCTCTAGAATGTGGAGCCTGTCGCAGAGAATTAACGGACGGTTTATTGGTTCCATGATATATGTCTTTACTTCTCTTGGTAGTTTATAATTCTTACTGGAGATCCTTTCATGGCAGATTGCATTCTCTAATGCAATATACTTGGTTGATGTCATCGAAGGTGGAGCGATGCTTATGAAAGCCTGTAAGCCCGCACTCGAGTCTAATTACATCACGAAAGTTATTCACGATTGCAAACGTGACAGTGAGGTGTCTGAGCTTTTTTTTGGTGACTTGTTATTGTGGCTCATGACATATTTATAATTCATGACAATGTGCCTTAATTATTTGTTTTTTCCATTTCCATACTACAGGCCTTATACTTTCAGTTTGGGATCAGGTTGCACAATGTTGTGGACACTCAGGTACGTTTTTGATGTGACATGGAAAATTTCTTGCCTCAGAAGCCTTGGTCATGATCTTATTATACTATTTTCTGGTTCACAGATTGCTTATTCTCTGATAGAAGAACAAGAAGGCAGGAGGAGACCTCTAGATGATTACATATCGTTTGTTTCTCTCCTTGCTGATCCACGTTACTGCGGTACTTTTTATGCTATCATGTTAGTTTTCATTTTTGATTTTCTTAATAATTAATCCTCGCGGCCTCTTGTTCTGGGTAGTGATATACTGGTTTCTGCTGAGCAAATGTTTATGCAAGTTCGACCTTATCTGTTATTGCCTGCCTTTTGGAAGTTCTTGTCCTGGTTCATATCTTGCACTTTGAAATAGTGATATTGACATTTTGCCTATCACGTGATGGTGAATCAATCACTTTACAGTGTTTTTTTAATTTGGTTCAGGCATATCCTATGATGAGAAAGAAGAAGTCCGTGTGCTCATGCGGCAGGTTCATAACATTTCTACTAAATTCGTCCTCGAGTTTAAAGTTGAAAATATGCTTCCTGGATGGATAATTAGTTGTCTTGTGTTTATTAAAATCTTTCAAAAATGTAGGACCCAAAGTTTTGGACGTACAGGCCGATGACTGAGCTCATGATCCGTGCAGCCGCTGATGATGTCCGCTTCCTTCTGTATCTCTATCACAAATTGATGGGAAAACTGAACCAGCGGTCACTATGGCATCTTGCAGTTCGTGGTGCTTTGTACTGTCGGTGCCTCTGCTGCATGAACGATACTGATTTTGCGGATTGGCCAACTGTTCCTCCAATTCCAGGTTTGTGCATACACTGTAAATGAAACACTAACCCATTCAGGACATGAACTAGGTTACTATTAGCAGTCGAGACGATATGTAAAAAGCTTTCTTTGTCTTTTCTTTAATCTGTGTGGTTACACAAATTTTCTCAGTAAAGTATAGAAGATACAGATTTAAAAAAAAAATGGTTGAAGTTAGCTTCTATTGGTTTACTGATTGTAAATAGACGATTAACTGTTGCAGATAACCTGAAGTTAGGAGATCAATGCCCCGATGAAGAGATCTTGTCGGTGCTTGATGTTCCCCCAGGAAAGATGGGACGTGTGATCGGAAGAAAAGGAGCATCAATCCTCGCCATCAAGGAAGCTTGCAAGTATAAACCATCTCTCGTTCATGTTGTAACGTTTTGTTTTAATCTGATATCTAGTCACGAATAAAACGTTTTGTTTTTGTCTTGCAGCGCGGAAATTCTAATTGGAGGAGCAAAAGGTCCACCTGACAAGGTTAGTATTACTCAATTGGGCATAAAAATTCTCAACGTAGTTCCAAATATATACCATTAAATGAGAAATTTGGTGGATCGGAAGATGTAAGGTAGTGTTTTTGTGCAGATATTTGTGATTGGACCGGTGAAGGAAGTGCGTAAGGCGGAGGCTATACTGAGAGGAAGAATGACAGACTATTGAAAAGGAGATGAGAGGGTCCTTTGTAATCTTGTCTCATTGCTCCTTACCAAAATAGTTTTTTACAAACACTCACTCTCTCTTTAAACTTGGAAACTCCATGGTTCGGTACGACCCGAAGAGTCCCTTTCTCGAATAAAAGTTACATCTATAACTACATCATTAACTGACGATAATACTGGAAAATTACCCTTCCATTTTCCAAATCGAACGTTGTTGTTTGATAAATCAGAAGATATGTAAGGTTTATATTGGCAAAAGCAAAATCAGAAAGTTTTTGTCTCCTTATTCACCAACACTTTGCGGCCGTTTAGGTTACTCAAAATGACTGTCAAAAACCGAAAGTTGACAAACGTCTTATCTCTTTACAAACCCGCTCTATTTCTTTCTGTCTTAGTGATTTAATGACACTAGGTGACTGCCTGGGCCAAGCGCGGACTTTATACTTTTAAGAAGTTATATAATATAATTTTATATCTGAGATTATGCATTTATGTATTTATATATACATTGAACGAAAGAATGTTTATGCAAATTTAAAAAAAATTCTAAGATAACTCCTAAAATTTGAATAATATACAATTCATCATATATATTTGAAAATTTCTCGATATATATTAAACCTTAATAGAAGTTTAACATAAATAGAGACTCTTGATGGTGATGTTTTATTTATGACTGTATTGAATTTTTATAGGCTTTCTATTATTGATTTTCATAATTATTATATTATAATTATAACAAAACATAACATATATATTCAACTAAATTAGCGGTGGTAAACATGACCGTTATTTTTCAAAACATTGCAAAAACTGCTATTGGTTGTCGTAACGGTGGTTTTCACTTTAAAGTAGTACCCATTTGTTACTCGTAATCCGATTCTATTCATTGTTGAGAATAACTGCATCTATTTTTGAAAAAAAATGTCTCCTTGCACGATGATTTCTGATTTAGGTATAGTATCTGATCGATCTTCTATCTGTGTTCAAATTATCAAGAGTGTCGAGGAAAGTCTAGGTGTTCACAGTATTCAGCGATCGTTTATATTCGCAGACGAACATGTAAGTATAACTTCAAAAATAACATACTGTCTGAATCTTAATATATTATCAATACCATCATTATTTTTTAACTGAAAATCTAGGGTGATCGAATACGTGCATCGATTCCGAATCGTTTAGTAGACCGTTATGAAGGCATGATGTGTGATAAAGATTGGTACTTCATTGGTAACTTCAAAATTACTTCACACACGGGAACTTCGAGGATTACAGTCAATGGTCTCCATATCTGTATCGATGAGGATACTCATGTTGAGAAGACATTGCCTAAATCAGATGACCAGTTGTATTCATTTGCTAATTTTAGAAGAGTCCTTGATGAATCTCTGATGGAAAACATAGATGTTGGTATGTTTTCTTAGTATTTTATTATACTCAATTAGATTAATTAATACTCTACTTAACTATATGAAAATATTGCTTTGTGCTAGTTGATTTGATCGGAGGTATTATCAAAGTTTGTCAATTGGAACGTCAAGACCAATTTTGGATCGGAAATCAGAGAATCAACTCAAGTGTTCTAAAATTTACAATTAGAGATTTCGAGTAAGAATCCATTGATACAAAGACTAATACATATATAAATCTTTACTATCATATTCTCGATGTTAAGGAAAATGATATATTAATTCTGGTTTTTAGGGGTGTCGACATCAATTTCATAGCGTGGGGAAGAGATGCTGAACATTTTGAATCCTTATGGAAAAACACTCCTCGTCGCAAAATCGTTTTCTGTGTATTGAGATTTTGGGAGATGTGTCGATATGGAGGTTATTTCTCATTCTATCGACCAACCATATATCAATTTATATTTATATCAATTGTAGCTAATATAATTTTCCATATTGTACAGATGAAATACGTGTTTGTTCTGGTCGAGAATTCTCTGAAATATTGTTCGATCCTCCAGTTCCTGAAGTCGAAAATTCTCATTTTATGTAAGCATTGTTCACCGTTATCATCTTATAAATTTCCTAAACAAAATTGTTGAATATTCGACTCATTATTTATCTTGTTCTTGCAGGCTTGACTACACAGATGATTTTAACAACATTGAAGATGGCTACTTTTTTGATCACTCACCTATTTTTCCTAGCTATTGAATCTATCAATTTCATTTGATGTTTTCATTTATTTTGTTTGACAATTATGTTTGACTTTTTTCTCATTATTCTGAATTTTAAAACCCTTTAATTAGATGAAAGAATTATTATACGTAATAAAATTAGAGAATATTAAGATAACACATTAACAGTATGAGTGATATTGAAAACATTATTAATTACTTATAAATTTAGTAGATTAGGGCAATAAGATATCAGCTGCATCCAAATAATTCAACCTCTTCCAAATCCTGAATTGATCTTGTTCCAAATCCTGAAATATTGATTTTAAAGGTATATCAATCAACCTACTTATTTATTATCCTGAAATATTGTTGTTCCTTTAATTCAAATATAAATATTATCAATAAAACTACTTACTTGGATTTTAAAATGGATACTTGATTGATATCTGGAACAACGTCAAAACGGGATAAACCATGTTCTTCATGATCTTGGATAATCACGTTCTCTAAAAACGTACATAATTTGATTCGTTTGAGTTTATAAAACATTAATTATAAAACAAAAAAAAATCGTAGCATCAGAACACATACCCCGATTAATTATGACGCACCAATCCGTTAAAACACAAATAGTAAAAAGTCCTTTAGACTTCACACACTTTTCATTTATCTCAAATGCTAACGCACCATGCGCAATACACTCAAGCATTACATCCCTATGTTTTGACAAACAAATTTATTAAGAACTAATTAAATATAAAAATTATAGGTAATTTACTTACTCATCGTCTATGATACGAAACCGAATTGATGCCCTCGTCGTACCATCTGGATACGTGATAGTAAAGTACCTAGCATCTTCGACCAATCCTATCAAATCTGAGTTTACAATTAAACTAAATCAAAACGATGAATTAAACACAATTAATTTTCTTTTATATTTCGAAATTAAAATCAAACTCACCAATCAAATAATAATGCTCACTTGGGTACTCATAAATTGATATGAAAGAGATAAAATTATGGAATGAATTGGTACCGGTAGAACCGGTAAAAGGATAGTATTTTTTGTTAAAGTAATAACATAATCATGTTTCGTAATATTTACGACAGTTCTCCAGTTATAAGGATTCAAAAGAAATCCAGATAACATGATCCATTGTTCTTCTATACAATTCCGATCGAAATAGTCCATCATTTGGTTATTTGCCCAAATATGTATTCTAGAACCCTACATCAATATACAAACAAATCAAAATATCGTAATCAGAATAATAATAATACATGTATATATATATATATAAATATCACGAAATATAATTAAAATACATGTTCGTCGACAACGATCAAATTTAAGCTTCTCTTGCTACACGAACAATCCACCTTCCATTTTTTCAATATTTTTACCACAATTTTCCAATCAGATCTCCGTGAGCTCAGTGTTCGAACAAAATCATAATTTGCCATCACTCAATGTTAATCTTTCTTGAAGACCGTGAACAAATCAACAAAGTACACATATATATATATATATATATATAATGCATAAATCAACATAAAAAGTATATTCGCAAAATGTAAATATTCCGAATATTACTCATTAAATATTTGTAAATATCTTCAAAAACAAATCACAATCCAAACTAAATGTAAATTTTACATTACGTCATAAATTAAATTCCAACACTTGCTTAACTAATTTGTCTTAAGATTTAACCACAAAAGGAAAAAGAATAAAATCAATTGAAATGAAACCTTCTAGGTGATAATTATCCTAAACCATTAATTTATGTACGTAATAAGGAGTCTATTTTGATATTTCTCATAGAATAATATAAATTGTTATTTTTGTAAGTATCAATATCTTCTTGGAAAATGTAATAATAAGTAGAAGACTATCATACTTTATGAGAAAAGTGAATAACTTTTACTTTATGAACATGGTCTGTAACTTATACAAAAATACTGAAGTGGGATTATCTATGATAGAATAAAGTTTTATTTAGAAAACAAATTACAATATATATATATATATATATATATATATATATATATATATTGTTTTTGTAATTCTGATTTTCTGTGTTATAATATATATCACGATAAAGTATTGTTTGTAATTTTGATTGCATTAAATTATATAATGAGATATCAGTTAAAGTCAAAGACTCAAAGTCGTTGTGTAACCACTAAATAGTATTTCTCCCAAAACATTGAAACTTGAGAAAATTGAATATTACAAACCCAAAGGTCTTCAAAACGTCTCCGCTTTTACCATTCTTTATTAGCAAACCAAACAAACAAACAAAAAAAATGGAGAACAAAGAACAAAAGAAATACGATGAAAATGGACTTCTCGTAATCACACCAGCACCATTGAGAATGCATTTCGGTGAGGATGAACCTAAGTCACCACCTATGCCATCTGATTGGGAGATCGAACTAAATATGATTTGGGAAGAAATGGAATCACAAAGCAAACCAACTGAAAAAGTCACACCGACTATCAAAGAAGTAAGTTATACTTTCATTCATATTTAATTCATAATATATGTTCGATTAGAGATCCATGATTTTAGAATGTATAACAATTGTTTTTGTTTGTAATATCTCTCTATAGACTGATAATGAGATATCAACTGATGAATCTCCAAAATCACGCTATAAAAAAGGGAAACATGAACTGTGGCTAGATCTCGAAATAGGTTTAAAGTGCATAAATTGTGGATTCGTTGAGACAGAGATCAGGCATATGGATACAGCAGAATAGGTAATCAGTTAAATTTTTCATTAAATTATAGAGAACTTTTAGGAAATTACTTGATATAACCGTTATTTTTATATTTTTCGTCTTGTAGTCAGAGAAGAAGGTGAAGAATGGGAAGAGGAAGAGAAAGTTGAGAATATAGTTGATGGTGAACTATATTTTCTTTGAAATTTTCTTGCTACTATATTTTATTTTATGGTTAGCACTTAAAAAACTTTGAATGGCCATATTTATGTAATATTTTTGACTTCTCTCCTTTATGGTATTTGATGATATTATTATATGATTATTTTGATATATATAAAATCAATAAATTCATTAAATAAAAAGTGAATCAGTAAATAAATAGTAAATTATTTTTGTATCTAAATCTAATCCAACCTTAAAATATAACTCATAGATGATAAATTTTTCTTTTTGTTAAGCAAGAATCAAATAAATACTGATCGAGTTTTAAAACAACAATAGAACAGAGAAAAGCAATGCCACAAAAACAACAATGCAACTAAATATTATCAAAGACATCCTTGTATACAACGTTTAATGTCTTCCTTTGAGGCTTTTTGTCTTTGTCCGTGATTAAGATTTTTAGTCCTGATTTGGATGTTACCCGCAAAACAGCAACATACAGTTGACCATGTGTAAAGACTGGTTTAGGCAGATACAATCCAACTTTAGCAAGTGTCTGACCCTGACTCTTGTTTATCATCATCGCAAAAGCAAGGGTAATTGGAAACTGTTTGCGCCTCATTCTGAAAGGAAATTTAGTCTCTGTCGGAGATAAAAATATCATAGGAATAAGAACTTTCTCTCCTATTTTGTCACCAGCTATTATTATAGCCTCTAGGACATAATTGGCCATCTGAGTAATAAGTAACCTAGTTCCATTACACAAACCATTCCTAGGATCAATATTCATCAGCAACATAACAGGAGTACCGGCTCTTAAACGCAAACAATGGTTAGGTAAACCAGAAACTTTGACACTGTTTAGAAACTCTTCTGTATATATCATATTACCCGGATCGTTTTTGCTGTCTGAGCGAACACTCTGAGAGGGAATTTCAGATGCATCATCCGTATCAATTTCTCTATCAGAAGGATCAATACTATCACAACTTAGATAGGTTCGTTCCTCACCTGTTATATGCAAAATGATAATCATCATTACAAATAAAAAATATCTAAAACATTAATAAAGACAAAAATAATAAAACATTTCAAAAATTAACTATTTAAGTATACCTTTTAATTGTGATAACATGTAATCATTTATAAGCCCAACTTCATCATTCCTTGGACTCAAAATAGCCCTATCCTGAAAGAACTTAGGATCAGTCTTTTTGTGAAAATCCTGTCCATAAACTTCATCAACAACAGCTTTAATCGCATTCTCACAATCATGAATCGATCTATCACTCGGAATATTGATCTCGCTTTCTCCGCTATCACTCGGATTTATTTTTCCTTCTCCAATATCAAGAATCCACCTTGTAAAAGATGCTAGCTCATCACACATCTCACGACTGTTGTCTCCAGGGATTAGTCGCATGTTACGTGTAAGCCTCAACACTTTACATCCAAACCAAAGGGAGTAGCCATAAGAATCTCTGTTTTGCCTGCGTTTGGAATAACAAGCAAAATTTGCCTGAAATCTCCACCAAAAACGATAACTTTACCACCAAAAGGCTTGTCACATTTTAATATATCTTTCAAGGTTCTATCCAATGTCTCGTAACAATCTCTACTCATCATTAATGCTTCATCCCATATTATCAGTTTAGATGCATCGATCAGTTCTGCAAGGTTTGATTGAGATTTGATTGCACACGTCGTAAAACGATTAACAACAATTGGAATTGCAAATCTCGAATGGGCCGTTCGACCTCCTTGCAATAACAAAGCAGCAATTCCACTTGATGCAACATTAAGAACAATATCACCTTTTGAACGTAACGCGGCTCCTAATAAGCTCCATAGATACGTTTTTCCGGTACCACCAAAACCATAAACAAAAAACCTTCCGCCAGAGCCTGAATAAACAGCTTCTAGAATCTCATCATAGATAAGTCGTTGTTCATCAGTTATCGTGGCAAACAACTCATCATGTCTAACTCGCAAATAATCTCGATCATAACTTTTTTCATCACGAATAAGAGGATTACCGCGTATAGTCATATCCAAATCATCTAGATACAGCATACATGAAAAATCTGTAAGAGAACTTCCAGCAGTACGCAGAAGCATCTCTATCTCAGCTAAGCAAAGGTTTTTAACCTGCTCAGTAGACAGCCTAAGATCTGAAAATCAGTAACCCAAACAGAAATATGAATATATAGCATATCACGTGAAATAGTTAAACAAATAATTATTTTAGTATTGATTAAAAAACTGACCTGGTTTTTTTTGAAATTTTCTTTGAGTATATAACACGTCTTCGGATAAAATATCCCAAGTAGCATCCCACTCGAAGGCATAGAAACACTTCTTGTAGTCAGCATAACTACAACCAATCCTAGTTATTGTACTAACCCATAAACTTGCATCTTTTATAGCCTCAATGTATTCTTTGTCGTCATCGAGTAACCCAAGGACAAAACAAACTTCTTTGAATGTATCATAATGATGCCCTTTAACCGTTCTTATATCTTCGAAACACGTTGGACCTATAACTATATTGAGCAAGAGCCTCAAATAATAAGCCTCTCCTACAGACATAGGAACATAGGTGATCCTACCAATAGTTTTCCCTTTCTTCCTTGGTTTCCATTTCCTTAACTTTGTATCAAAAACAAATTTATGTGGAAACTCTACGTAAGTTAAAGATCTACCTTCTTCATACTCTTTATTACATTCCATCCAAGCCATGAATTTGGACATACCAACGGTAACACGTTCTAACCACTTCTTCAGCAGGATCATCTTCATTGTATATAATTAAATGCTGATTCGGCAGATGAAACGGGAGTTTTGTCACAGAAACTGTACGACTATGTGTATCATAACCCTCGATCCTCCATATAGACTCGCCAGGTGATATATACCTAAACATAACATACAGTAAATATCAATGATGGTATTGAAGACTTCATTGATAAGATAAATAATGAAAATTGCAAGAAACATACCTACAGTTGAAATGCTTCTTAACTTCATCATCTTCGTCATCTTTGCCTACTACTGCGCGAACATAATCAGCTCTTTTATGAATATATTTAAAAAGATACTTGACAGAACGCGATTGTATACACCATTCCACATTAATACGAGCTCGATATCGAATATAAAGTTCTCTGTTATACGGAACCACATAGCCATTGTCACAATTGAATCCTTTCCTCGTTACAAATCTCTTGTCTTCACGTCTCCTGTATATCGGGTATCCAACATCATCAACTTTAGTAACAGGACTAAATGCCTTTGGAAAAAATTTGGTACATCTACCATCAGCCATACAAACACTATCCCTATCCAAAGCACCACATGGTCCGTGCATCATCACATCACCAATAATTTCATATAGATGAGGATCAGTTTCCTTATCAGGAATCTCAGCACATATAATCTTGTCGATATCATCACCAGTTGGTAGTTTGTCTTCGGGCCTCAAAAAAAGAACGATATGAGCATGAGGAAGTCCTCTCTTCTGGAACTCTATTGTATATATTGCTATCATAAAACACGTAAAAACATAAAAAATAAATTAGTTATCAAAAATCATATGTAAATATCATCAATATAGATTTACATTTAAATAGAGCGTACCAGCATTTACAACTCCCAAGACATTTTTTTTAGTTAGCTCGTACATGAGATCATCAAGTTTCATTTTGAATACTCGAGCGCATAGGTCTGGTCTATCTTCTGCTTTCAAATTATGTCTTTGTAAATGCCTAGTAATTTCAGGCCATTTTGGATTACATGTGAACGTGATGAACAAATCTGGAAATCCAAAATGTTTACACGTGGCCATAGTGTCCAGATAATGTTGAAGCATATCTCTTGTACCACCAGTAAAAGAAGCAGGAATGAAAATTCTTCTACCTTTCTCAGAAAGATCAGAATTTCCTTTATCAGCGGCATCCTTTATATTATCGAAAATCTCGGATCGAAGTTTCTGTGGATTCATTGATATGAAGCGAAGTCTATTCGTCTCGATCATCGTGAACGCGTCAACCAAAAACTGTTGGTACAATCTTCCGGACATTACAATTGTTGGAGATTCTCCAAACCTCTCTTGAACCCGAAAAGCAAAGAACTCTCTCATAGTAATCGTCAAACGTTTCTTCCCCTTCTTATCTACATATCCAATATCTATACCGAGTCTAAATCCATCTTCACCATATGGAAACAACAATGGATATTGTAAAGGCAAATAAGCAGGATGCAATTCACTGATTCTCTTCAATCTTCCAGACCTACTTTCAATAATTATATCTCGTGTTTCGATTCCAACATCGAAATCATTAGGTACCAACGCAGCAACTTCTTTTGCAGTTGGAAAATTAGTAGTACGTCCATCTGATGTTCTATCATATTCCAGTTTTAACCGTAAACCACTGGTATCCCCAAGACTTCCAAACTTATCTTGTACCGTCCTGAAAGCTTTGACGTGACGATTATGTCTATCCAACATTTTTAAAGTGTTTGAACAACCGATTCTCTTAATTCTGAAGTGGAACCAACCGTCCTTTATCACCAAAAACAAGCAAATCAAAATAACAATTCGTTAGAACTTTTTATATTTTAAAAAACCAAAAAACAGCAGTAAAAAAACAAACATAATTTTTCTTACCCATATGCAGATATTCTGTTGGATGTTTCATTTGCGGTGTCATGTATGTAAAGCTGAAGGAATGCTGGATTCGCACCATGAGCCGGTATCGTATCACCTATTGAGTGATAGTTCTCACCACATAGCTGGAAAACATATGGCCCTTTTCCATCGTTGATTGAGTTGTTAACTTTTCCTCCAAGCGAAGTAAAAGAAAACATCATGTTATATGCACGGATATGGTCACGAAAATGAGACCTTTCATCACCAACATTGTATAAATACGATAATAGAGATTGTGGTGGAGCCCTAATCAAGGGAAGAACAACTTTGCCTTGCATGCAGCATTTTGAAAACTTGGGTTTAGCTCGTGTAGCCCTTTTTGCCAATCTTTCTCCATACCACATATAAGCTTTGCAAAACTCACATATATAAATAGGATCACCGTCATCATAATAACCTAAAAAAAAAGATTTTATTATGTAATAATAAAAATTTAAGAACTAAATTACAAAAACCAATATAAAACGGTAATTAATAAATCTAAATAATACCCTTAACATCTAACCCCGGTTTTACAATTGAGACTATGTCGGTCCGAACAATTGGTTCATCTGCGGTAGCAACACCATTATTGGTTGCCCTTTTTCCTTTCCTCGACGTAGAACTTTTTTTATTAACAGGAGAAACATCGGTATTCTCTCCTTGTGGCACGACAATATCGGCCAATAGCTCTTCTGAATCGCTATCTTCATCGTTTTCTCTTTCAGAATCAGAATCAGTAGCTATAAAGCAAGCAAACTCGGCACTATTGTAAGAATCAAGCAAGGAATCTACACAGAAGATCATAGATAACAAAAGTTTAATACAACTATTAATTTGTTGATAATTAATTTGATAAAACAAAATATATAATTCAGAACAAATTATAAATCAAACCAATATCTTGTTATAAGGCTTTCTTATCTCTCATAATAATCTTTCTTCTCTTCCTCGCAGCACGACAACCTTCCAAGGATAAATCTCTCTCATCAACGTAGGATTGACCAATCCCTCAAACAGTTTGGTAACTATCACCAGCTTTGGTTGGGGCATATCTTTCGTTTCTTGCACTCCAATCTATGTTAATTAAATAATTACAATTTTAGATATTTTTCCATACCAATAAACACGTGACATCGACCATAACTCACTTTTTTTGGATACAGATGAAGAAACCAGGAAGTCAGCATCATCAGACCTAGCTTTGCGCTTCATTCTGATTTTTGATAACAGAAGTACACAAAAATTGTCTATCAATGTATATATATATAAATATATATATACATATATATCATTATATTATATAATATATATTTATGTTAACTAACTTAGATTTTTTTTTATATTTTCCGTATAACCGAAAATATTTATAGATTAATGATTCAGAATCTGTGCTAATCCTAAATATTTTCTAAAATAAGATTTTTTTTTCCATTTGCCGAACAATGTACATTTTTGATACATCCTATAAAACTCCATATTTTCCAATTCTCAATATTTTATATTAAGATCGATCGTAAGGTGATGCATTATATTTTTTTTTCTCGATTATAATACTAAAAAAAAGAAAACGTTTGGTAATGTGTAAAAGTATTAAATATGAGAATATATATTTGTAAAGCATCAAAGAGTTTTCAACGGTTTAACATATTCTTTAGTTTATTTTATCATATTAAACGATATATATATATATATATATTATTTCCTTTTCTAAACATAACTTATTAGCTTATATTGTTCATAAGATAAATAAAACTCGTTAGCTTAGCCATATTATAAATATGATTCATATTAATAATTCCCGAAAGTTACAACTATAAAAAAAAATAATGAACTATTCCACGATATAAATGGATCAGTGTTTAAAACACAAACTTCATATGAAAAAAAAAAGTTTGACGAAATTCATCAAATCAAAGACAATTCTTTGCATGCATCTTTGAATGTAGGATAAACAACACCTTCAACAGTCCTGATATCTTCATAAGAACGTGGTCCTCTCACGACATCCAACAAAAGACGCAGGTAGTAAAGCTCACCATAATCAACGCTACAACGATCAACCATAAACCTACTTAACGTAGAACGAATACATGGCTTCCAAAGTTTTCGTATACGATCCCAAACGAAGTCTTTTGGTATTTCAGAGTATAAGAGCTCTCGGGCATTAGGAGAGTCCTGGTTACACACCATCCAAGCTGAAAACTTAGTTTTTGTTTCTGAAACTGGTAAATCTAGGTCAGATGAGAAAACGTTCTTTGAGGGAGGTAAATGAAAAGGTAGAATCTCCACTTTGCCTCTTCCATGAAAATCATTGTCTATTAGAAATCCACAAAAATAAGAAAGAAACTCTCATATACCAAGAAAAATTCGTCATCTCAGATTCTCAATGTGAAGAATAACAAATAAAGATTTGAGAGAATTGTGTGATGACTAAAAATAGGCTACAAATTAACGAAATAAGAATAAAAAACCTGGAAACTCCATTAGAAGAGACGCAACGAAACAATAGACCTAGGACGATGAATTAACCTAATGGACATGAATACATATACACATATATATATATATATATAATGTTACAAATTTAGGGTTTTAGTACTTTAAACATTTTTAATTCTATAAATGTTCAATTTTAACATTTTTGATTATATAGATAATATTAATGCCTAAACCGCATGTAAACGATAAACGATTCCCATAAGCCATATATTCTGTAAAGAGATAATCATTACCGAAAATGTAATAATAATAAGTAGTTTACAATACTCGATTAACAGATATTAATATACTAAATTATTAATAAATTATTAATATTAATATTTTGTATTATCAGAATATAGGTATATCAACGAAAGAGTGACCAAAAATATTCTACCTAGGCTGTCATAATACCAACAATATTCTATCTAGGCTGTCATAATACCAACAAAACGATAAACGCTTTTTAGAAAATGTTCTCTACAAAAAATTTTATTTTGGGGAAGCTATTCTATGTTAATATTTTTACAATTTATTGAATATATACACACCAGAATAAACAATATACCAGAAAAATAAAGGACTAAATCAAGGAAATACAGTATATGAAAACCAAATAATTGTTTATCGAAATTAGAATAACTGTCACAGTCAGTGCATCAGTCATTAAATAACAAATTTTAGTTTATCATATATAACATCTAAATATATATATATATATTACATAAAATCATAATATTAGTTAGTATTTAAAATTTATGTTTTCGATAAGTTTATTGTATATTGGAGATATACAACTACCAAATATTATAGATATACATATATCAAAAACTATAGATATCCATCAATTCAAATCTATCAGAAGTTGTCAGATATTTTTTCAAAAACACAATGAATACTTAGCCCTTTGAGTAGACTATAGTTTACAAATCAACTTTTCAAATCACCATACATCACCAAAAAAGATGAAAACACTACAAAACCATTGATATACGGATTTATTCTAGACACTAAAGACAATGTAACGATATCATTAATAACATTCATAATATAAATAAGACATAATCATTCATAACATTGATAATATAAATAAGACATAATGCAGTATGCATAGAGTCAAACCGAAATTGTAGATTAGACAACAACCAATATCACTTAATAAGTATCATAATATAATATTTTTACAAACATTAAAAAGAAAGATAAGGAATTGACATTCCATCGATGGTGCATTAGTTAAGGCGGTATCGCCTACAAAAAAAAATCGATATGTTAGATCAATATATCTAAAATCAACTAACAAAATATGTCAATAAAGAAAAATTAAATTTAATATTTACTTAGCCCTGAAATCGTCAATCTCGTCATCAACAGGATTACACAGGAAATCAGAGCAAGGAGGGTAAGAGCACAGGACAACTGAATTCTTATCAACACCTATCATTAATTTTACGAATCAGAATTAGAAGAATGCAAGATTAGCTATTCTAAAATACTAAAAAAAGGAATAAAAACCTACATTGACCATTAGTCATCTTCCAAAACCTCAGCACAAACACCACTGATTCACTTTGATTACTTTGATAAACACTATGCAGATTCTTAGCCAAATTCCCACGGGTGATACATGGGAATACACAATCTCTCCTAATTGATTAAAATAGAACAAAAAAGGTTCTTCCAGTTTAGATGTTATAAAACCAAAACGATACATTGTTTTTTTTTTTTTTGCATAAACAAACGACATATGAATATAAACTCATAGATCTTACCCTGCATCAAGAAGTTCGAATCGAACATATGTTGCATTATCCTCATAAGCATCGCTGTTGATCTCACAGAGATTGATAACACCGTATTTTGACCACTTTTATGGATCGTTTATGAAATACTTTTTCTATGTTTTTAATTACTTTTAAGTACTTTTATTATGTTTTTCTAGTATTTGCAGTTCCAAGACTCTTTTCAGGTAACTTAGGGAAAAGCTTAACAAAATGGATAGAAAACGAGATTTCAGCTCAGAGTCAAACCGTCAGAAGTTCACCCCTGATTGAAGGCCTTCTCACCGTCTGATCCAGCTCAAATTTGGAGACCTTAAAGATGGAAATATCAGCTTTCCAGTGCACTTTACAGCTTGGCAATCCAACGGTTCAATCAAAAGATACGCGAAGAGCAAGATGTCCCGTAAACCAGCCGGCAAGCACTTCCACCCGCGGCCAACAACCAATTTCCCGCGGTCAGGAGCATCCCGACCGCGGCAAACCACCCATTCCCCGCGGTCAGAGCACTCCCGACCGCGGCCATCAACCTCCGAGCTTAAAAAGCCCATTTCTGAAGCC